CCTACAGACCCCCTTCCAATACAGATTAATTCCGTAGGTCGAGACCTCACTGTACATACAGTAAATTAAATAACCATTTTTTAAAAAATGTATTTTAATTTTGTCTGTGTGGGGGAGGGTGTTTCTTGGGCGGGTTACAGATTAATGTGTTTTCAATGCATTCCTATAGGGAATGCATTTTCGACTTGAGGACTTTTCGACCTACAGACCCCCTTCCAATACAGATTAATTCCGTAGGTCGAGACCTCACTGTACATACAGTAAATTAAATAACCCACCAAAAAAAGAAAAAGCTTCGTTTAGCTCCATTCACAAAACCCTCTCTCCATCTTTCTCTCCATGCTCCCTCTGCAGCCACAGAGAGATACACGCAGAGAATGAAGGGCAACCAGCTGGCTTACCTAGTGGTAGGGTGTGCATTGTTTCAAAAGGACAAAGGGCTGATGTAATTATTTAAGTAAGTTAGTCCTTTAGAACTGTGCTCAAAATGTGCTACAAGTATTTGATTCAAAACGGAAGGATTTCTTCTCTTGAAAACACATACTCTTGAGGAGCGTTCTTATTTCTTAGTAGTCTAGTGTTTGCCACTTAGTGACACAGTGCACTCTTCCTGACTACAGACCGCTTCAACTAATTAAAATTAATGTGATTTAAAATGAAAATAGCTCTGTGATGTACAAGCTCCAGGTCCCCACAGAGTCTGTGCCAAGCTTCAGATATCTAGCTCAGACAGTCTTGGAGCTACAGGAGGGGCAAATACAGACAGTCACACATACCTTCTTTAATTATTGGAGATTTATCATTACAGTACCTGCCTATTAGGATGTATAACACAGTTTGTTTTGATTTAATGTATTATTAAAAATTTAACTGTTCTTTTGTTACTGATCAGGAAATGATGCATAATTTGCTTTTTCCTGGAAAAGATGTGAAACTAAACCCAAAACAACAGAGTCTTAATGGAACAGTTTAGAATTATTTGTAAAATAATATGAATTGGCTTCAACACCAACACTTTAAATACTATTTCTACTCCTCTCTGCCACTGACACTATCAAATTTATCAGAGTTGTCATCTGCACCAATATATTGGTCAAGTCCTATTTGAATCTCTGAGATACCTTTATCTCATAAGTAGAGATGGGGTTATTCGTATACCCCCCCCCGCACAGCTGGAGTTAATGAGGGTCCAGCACCCTGAGGCCGTATTGTCCACTCACGTGTCCGCCGCCGGCACTGCTCTTCCTTCCAATTGCTCCAGAGTGCCTGGTCAGCTAGCCACTCCTGGCAGAAGGCAGGAAGGTGAGTCTCCCTGCAAGGCTGATGAGTGGCTAGCCGACCGGGCACTCCGGAGCGACTGGAAGGAAGAGCACGACCGGCAGTTGTGGCAGATGCGTGAGTAGATGGTCCAGCCCCAGGAACCAGACTCTCGTTAACTGTGGGGGGGGTATTCGTATTCATATACAGATGCCTCCATCTCTACTCATAAGTTTAGATCAAAACACAATCTTTCCTAGCAGTGTTCCAAGAAAAAGTTTGCATTCACCAAGGCCTACCACAGGGAAGGGAAATCTGTGACCCTCTAGGTTTATAGACTACAATTCCCAAAATCATTCTCCACTGATTATGCTGGCTAATATTGGTGGGAACTCCAGGACAACATCTGGAGGGGCATATGTTCCCCACTACTACCCTATGATTTGATTATTCTTCTTCAAAATCATCTTGTGGCAGAAATCAGACTCCCAGTCGTACTTCAATATATTTTATCCACATTCTAAAGACCCAGATCATAATAAAGACAGAATGGTTTCAACATTGTTAACAGAGCTAAGTAATAATGAAGATACATGTTGACAAAGCATGACAAACTTCTTTTATAATACTATATTTATTTCAAGCAATTTAACTGGTTCTTGGAGTTAAAAAAGATCCCAGCATGGGTTAGACATGGTCAAGAAAAACAAGATAGCCTCTCCCTGTAAGCTTAGGACATCAAAAAAACCCCAGAAAGAAGGCAAGAAATGAGAAAGAAAGGGGAAAACAGAAATAGAAATTCATATTATAAGAGGCTACATTTTACATTGGTGTGCTTTTCAAAGTCTAAATGCAAAAGCTTGCTTAATTATTTTAGAACATATATTAATTGTATATATTCTTAATGTCATTTTATTTAAAGCCCTTCCTTCTACCAACTCATGTTCTGGAACAACAAATATTATCACAAATTATAGGTGGATCAGGTCGTGGAATATTGATGGGAACAGGTCATGGCTAGAGATGGGCAATAACCACTAGTGGGTTGGTGTTTCAGCCCGGTTTAGTGTGGCACTTGCACAAATATTCCATGGCTGCTGCACACTTCCCTCCTCTGCTTCCTCCATGTAATTGCCCACTCACCGACTGCAGTGGACATCCTTCCTCTGCCTTCTCCACACAACTGCCCACTCACTGGCACCTACAAATTGCTTCCCTCCTTTGCCTTCTCTGTGTGATTTGTCCAGTCACCACCAGCCTCCTCATCCTCTGAGTGGATAATCGCAGAGGAGGGAAGTAAGCTACAGTCAGTGCGTGAGCAAATGAGCAGAGGAGGCAAGGAGGTAAGCATGCGGTGCCCATCTTTAGTCATGGCATACTGACAGCACAAAGTTCAGGGTATTGCCTTTATGGAATATTCAGAGATAGTATTTTCTGAGTGCCTCCTGTCATGCTGACTAAACGTATTAAATGAACGGCATGCCAAGTATTTTGGAAGCATGACTGACTGACTGACTGACTGATTGATTGACTGGTTGGTTGGTTGGTTGGTTGGTTGGTTGGTTGATTGACTGGTTGATTGACTGACTGACTTTCTATGCCACCCAATTAGTGATGAACATCGTCACTCTGGGCGGTGTACATAATAAAACAGACAAACCCCACCCACAACAAAACACATATCAAACAGGATGATATTCAAAGTACTGTAGTTAAATAATGAACCAATAACAGGATGAAGTCCCAAGATTCCAGCAACAATGGATATTTCTTTTTTTTCCTTTTCTCCACTTCCTCAACTGTAAAGAAACACAAAAATTCTGTCTAGATTTAACTTTTAAATCCATTCATTTCTATGTAATATTTCTTTTCCGAATAGTTACAGACCAAGGATTTCTTTTTCCAGGTTGTTATTGATTTATGAGATGGAAACATCTCTGTCAAGCCATTTTCTAAACACTTTTCTCAATTGTAACCAAATTCAACTGAAAAAGTAATGGCTTTGGATCCAAAAAGTGTAAAACAGATATCCTCAATTTTTCAAGTATACTAGCACTGTCATGATTAGGTAGAATTACAGCTATTACAAGTATTATAACATTTGAGACCTAATACATCATATTAAAATAGCATGGCTCATTTCCATGCCAATTTCAAAATAAAGTGTGTTACTATCTCATAAAAAAATTATCTTCTAGATTTGTGAGATTTCTAAAAACATATAAGACCAAGTGAAGGATAAGGAGTTCAGAATAACAAAACGAGTCCTTCTGGCATGTGACAATGTATTGTGAGCTAAGTTCATGCACAGGAATTTCTAGATAGGGAATTTCTAAATGGGTACAAATACAAATACTCTATTGCATCATCGCCAACCAGGCTGTACGCATGAGCCGGGATTAAACCAGTCTAAAAAATTAGAATTTGGTATCTAAAATAAGTACACATGAACAGTCAGAAAATATAATAATGATAATGATAATGATAATGATAATGATAATGATAATGATAAT